CCCCCCCCCAAATACCCATTTTCCATGAGCTGTTCGTTGTACCAAGTGAAGCGTGCCAACCCTGCTCTGCCTGAGGACCTAACTCCCTGCGGGGCACGGGGCTTCCGTCGTTATGAGAAACCACCGTGGGGCAGAGCTTCCTCCACGCAGAACCAGCCTTGTTGTCATCCCCGGCACCCACTATGACCAAGAGGGTTCTTGCTAACTGTTTGCAGAATGTATTGGCAAGGAAGGCAGAAGTAAGCGAGTCACCGTGAGTCAGGAATTTGGGGCCGTGGGCTTTAGAGAATGGAAGATGTTAGAGTCGAGAATGGGCTGTCCTCAGAGCCCAGGAGGGGAGGGGCGGAAGCTAGACTGGTTTCGAAAGACCATCTTAAAGGCAGGGACCACCCACTCAAAGGAGGAAGCAACGCCTAGACTGGGGGGAGGGGGTTGCTGCATGACCTCCTCTCGCCCACACCAGGCTTTGAGTCCCTGCCAGGAGAGAGGGGTGGCTTTGAGGGACTAGGAGTGATACAGCGTTTGTGGTCCACATAAAACCACTCAGGCCTTCCCTTTCTACTCCCTCCCTAAACTGGGCAGAGACCTGGCCTGGGCATACCTCCTTCCGCAGTGTTTGCTGGCCCCGGCTTGGCTGTGGGGCTGGTCTCCCAGGAGGCGGGGTAGTGACAGGGACCTGGCAGGTAGTTAGGTGGGGGCTGCAAAATCTGCCTCTGCTTCCCTCCCTGAATACACTCCCACTCTGTCGCTAGACCCCAGCCTCCCTGGGCCTCTAACAACTCCTAGGACATTCCGTTTTCCTTCCAGCCTCCAGAGCTTTGCGCTTGCCTATCCCTCTGCCGGAAGGAGTCTGTCCATATCTTTACCCGTCCGCCTCTTTTGCACCAGCCACATCTCACTCTTCAGAGCAGCTTCCTCTGACCACTGCATCTAAAGCGCCTGATTGGACACAGACAGTACATCACCCATGATACTGCCTGAAGCAACATTATGCTACTGTTTTCTTGTTTCTTCTTGGTCGCCCTCACTCGACTGCAAGCTCCATGTGGACAAAGACTTTGTCTGTAGTGCCTAGCACACAGTAGGGGCTCAGCGAATATTTGTTGAATGAATGAGTGACAGACGGAGGAGACACTGGGTTTAGAGGATACAGCATGAGCCTGACTGTGCTCTCCTGGGTTCCCACCTGTTCCCAGGGGAGGCCCTGGGAGAGATGAGCAGGGCCCAGCACTCCAGTGTGTGCTTGTATATGACTCTCCCTTGGTTACTGGTCACTGGAGGTGACTCTGATGTTGCAAGGTGATGAAGGGCAGTGAAGAGAAGTCATGGCCCCTGTGGCCAGTGGCTGCTGCACAGTGCTGGCTTGGAGGAAGGCGTCCAGGTCAGCCCCACTTTACCCCCAGGCTGGACCCAGGACGGAGAATCCCCCCAGCTCCCACTCAGGAGTACTACCACTTGCTAAGCAGGGTGGGAGCTTCAGAGCAGATGATTTCAAAAGAGGAAGAAGAGGAGGGACTGCCGCACTGAAGACGCCTTTGAAAGACCCTCAGAATCCCCCAGCCTCCTTAGCCCATCCTCATGTGACTCATGAGGAAACAGATTCAGTGAGGTCAAGATCACATGACTCGTGGGAGACCAACAACTCAAACCCCCAACTTTCAGGCCAGTGTTGAGCCCTTTCCCATGAAGCAGACTCATTCGTTCATTCATTCATTCATTCATTCAGTATTGAGAGTCTACTCTGTGACAGTTTCTATTCTGAGTTCTTGAACTACCAGAGGGAACAAAACAGAACATCTGAACTCTGCCTTCATGGTAAAGAGACACAACAAAGTGGGGTCTTGAGTGCATAGCACAATGTCAGGAGGTTCTGCTGGAGGTGGCGGTGTGAGCGCCTCCACAACTCTGGTCATTTCCTCTGGCTGTCCAAAGATGACAGGCAAACCTCCCCCAGAGGCCTGTGGGTGGCGGGGAGAGAGAAATGGAGCCAGGGAGCCTTCGGAGGCCAGCGGATGGCTTCCTGTCTGAGTAGAGGAGGCCAAGCAACACAAGGCAAGGGGCCCTTCTGACAAGTGGGTGTCAGGCCCCTGGTCCTGCCCTCACCCCTCTCCCTGTCTCCCTAGCTGTGTGCCAGCCGCCGTGCCAGAACAGGGGCTCCTGCAGCCGGCCCCAGCTCTGTGTGTGTCGTTCTGGCTTCCGCGGAGCCCGCTGTGAGGAGGTCATCCCCGAGGAGGAATTTGACCCCCAGAACTCCAGGCCAGCTCCCCGACGCTCAGCCGAGGGTTCACACAACTTGCGCAGGAGCAGTGCAGCCAGAGAAAGCGCAGCGGCCAGAGCACAGCCACTGACACCACAGCTGCCACCAGCCAGGTAAGGCCCCTCCTCAGGGGGGACGTGGGGCCGGGGGTTCTTCCTTAGGACTATTTGGTGACAGTCTCGGAGAAGGCCGAGCTGTCCTTCCTCCCCCTCTCCCTGCCTCGACCAGTGGTGTGGAGAGCAGGAGAGCAGGGGTTGGGGTTGGGGTTGGGGTTGGGGTTGGCATAGGCCAGTGATGGTGAACCTATGACACGCGTGTCAGAGGTGACATGCGAACTCATTTTTTTGGTTGGTTTTTCTTTGTTAAATGGCATTTAAATATATAAAATAAATATCAAAAATATGTCTTTGTTTTACTATGGTTGCAAATATCAAAAAGTTAATATATGTGACACAGCACCAGAGTTAAGTTAGGGTTTTTCAAAAGGCTGACACACCGAGCTCCAAAGGTTCACCATCACTGGCATAGGCTTTGCCAGGCTGAGGTGGGCAGGGGAGGCAGGAGGTAGAAGAAAGCTGAGGAGACCAGGCTCTCTTGTTTCCATTCCTGGCATTGCCACTTCCTAGGTGGGTGACCTTGGGCAAGTTACCTCTCTGATTCCTCCTCAGTGGGGTGGAGGTCATGATGATAACCATAATCATGGTGTTGTTGTAAGACTAGATTAGTCAACACAAGGAAAGGGCTTAGCACAGGGCCTGGCACATAGTAAACTCTTTATAAATGTCTCGCCTTCTCCTCCCCCTTCTCTACCTGTGGTCTCTGTGATGCAGGAAGGACTTGCCACCCAACGCTAACCTCTCTCCTTGGAGGGGCCGAGCAGGAGCACGTGGGGAAGGGAGTAAAAGAGAAAGTGGGCACAGAGAGTGCTCACAGGCAGGGTTCCCTGGCCTGCTTGCCAGCTAAACTGGCTAGACTTTTTCTAGCTCAGGACAGGAAATCTGAACTTTGTAAACTGGTCCATTTCTAGAGAGCTGTGTTTTCCTTTTGGTTTTTCAGGTTAATTTTTCCATTCGTTTTCTACTTGGGAAGTTCTTTGTGAAATGTTGCAACCTTGTCTTGCTGAACTAAGGGGAAAAAGGGGGTTTGCCCTTTGGAGGCCAGGAGAACCAGGGAGAGAAGGCTGATGGGGAGGCCGGGCCCCCAGTGGAAGGTTCGAGAGAGAAAGGAAAGGAGCTTGAGATTGTCTAGCAACTCTGAAGAGGGGGCCGGTCTGACCAGGGTCCTGGTAAGGTGGGGTTCCAAGGCCCGACCACCCAAGCAGGTGGTTTCCAAAGGCAGCCGGGAGCAGAAAGAGCTGAAGGATGAACTCAGGTCCAAGCCCTGGGAGTTCCAAGGTCAAAACCAGAAGAGCCAAACCCTTAGGCCAAGGCCCAGGGATGCTGGGCAGAGAGAGGGGCAGAGCTAGGTGGACAACGCAGGGGCAGGGCCTGAGCCTTGTTCTGATTAGTCCCAGCTGAGGGTCCCAGGTGGTGGGAAGGCACTTGAGGGAGCCCTAGTGGTACCAGCTCCAGGGCCAACCAGGAGCAGGCTGGGAGCAGAGTCCTTTCAGCTGAGCTTTCCCCTGCAACCTCCCTTTTGGCTTGCGTGATTCATTCATTTCATGATGCACTGATCTTCTATATGTGTGTGAGTGTGTGTGTGTGGGGGGGGGCGGGGGGAGGTGCGGTGCTTGCATGCAAGTATTGGAGGGTGGTTGCTGAGCAGGTCATTCTCCCCTCACCCCCTTGAGTCAGAGCTGTGACATCCCCTGCCCCATCTTGCCAGCCCACCCTGCTCCTCGCATTCTTCAGGCCCCTTCCTGCTTTCTCCGACCCCTCCTCCCCAGTCACTTCTACACAGCGGCCTGCCTTCCTGCAGCACGCACTTGGCATGGATCTCTGTGGGTCTGTGCCCTGTGTCTGCAATCAGACTGTGTGGCCTGTGCCCTGGGAGGCAGGGACTCCGTCTCATACCCTGGATTTCCCCGCAGCTCCTCCCATGGTCCCAGCTTATAGAAAGCACTCAGTCTGCATTAGGACTCTATCACTTGGTCCAAACTGAAGACTTGGCATTGACCCCTCACCCTGTGCCTGGAACTGAGGGCCTGGCTCAGAGTGCAGGAGGAGGGAGGCCCCTGCCGCCCTGTGTAGCATTTTTCTCTCTGCCTTGGGGTGGTCTGTTTATTTGCTCACTGGACCAGGAGCTCCTGAGACACAGTCTTCTATCATTCATTTAAGAACGTGGCCCTGGTACCTAACACGGCAGGTGCTCAGTCAGCAGAAATTGAATGAATAAATGAATGAGGCTTGATGCTGGGAAGAGGAGGAAGCTGGGGGGATAGGAGGATGAGCTAGGGAGCCCCTGATCTCCCAGCGAAGGTTTCACATGTGCAAGAGGTGGCGGGGGGAAGGGGGTCGAAGGCCCAGGGTGAGGTCCGTGGCCCACAGCAGGGCCACCCTCTTTGAGCTTCACAGGCTCCCTGGCCAGGGGCTACTGTGATGTTTTTAATGAGCTGCAGCCTCCAGGCCAGCAGTCTGTCTCTGCTCTGGGACCTCAGTGCCATGAAATCTGGGAAAGTCCGAGTGGCCCGCTGTCGGCCCAGCTGTGTTTTGCTTTGGGAGGCCAAATCCTGCTTGCCTTGTGGTGTCAGACATTTCCTGTGAGCGTAGCCAGGTTTCCCAAGCAGCCGCTTGCCTCTCTCCTGGTGGCAACTTGGACAGGCCCTCGGTGTCCAGCTAGGGCAGTGTTCGGCAAACTGCGGCTCGCGAGCCACATGCGGCTCTTTGGCCCCTTGAGTGTGGCTCTTCCTAAGCCTTAGGAGGACCCTAATTAAGTTAATAACAATGTACCTACCTATATAGTTTAAGTTTAAAAAATTTGGCTCTCAAAAGAAATTCCAATCGTTGTACTGTTGATATTTGGCTCTGTTGACTAATGAGTTTGCCGACCACTGAGCTAGAGGGAGTGACTTGACTCCGGGGCATTCTAGGAGCAAGAGAGGGGTACACATGTCCAAGAGGGGGAGACACTGCAGGGGTTGGTGACAGCCAGAGGCCCTCTTTAAGAGAGAAGTAGATGGAGGCCAAAAGACTGGCGTCCCAGAAGGAAGATGAGAAGGAGGGGCCAGGAGAGTCTGAGGCAGCAGGCAGCACACCCTAGGAGAGCCAGGCATGGCTAGATGTTGTCCAGCTGTGGCCTGCGCTGACTGCTCCTGAGCTCTGGGTCCAGGCTTGTTCCCCAAGTCTGGGCAGAGGGCCTCCCCACCTGGGGAGCAAGAGCCAGGCAGCTGAGGAAGGGCCTTAAGAGATCGGGAAGGGCCTTAAGAGATCGGGAAGGGCGTGGTTACAACAACCTGAAACCAGCAGACCTGGGCAAACAGTGCTTCTCAGTGCTTCTCAGCTCCGCAAAGGGAAGTGAATCGCCTGGGAACTTGTTAACATGCAGCTTCTGATTCAGCAGGTCTGGGTGAGTGTCAGGTCTCAGGTGATGCTGCTGCTGCTGCTGGTCCGTGTACCTCACCATGAGTAGTGAGGGTTCTAGCCTGGGTTTTTGGACAATCCTGGGTTCCGGTCCTGGGATTTATTTACTACTCATCAGCTGTGTGATATTAGGCAAGCATCCTAACTACTCTGAGTCAGTAGTCTCTACCTGATAGGATTGTAGAGAGGATTATATGAGATCATATGGGTAGAGCACATCTTATGGTGCCTGATTTGAGTTCATGTTCAATGCCCGTTAACCATCAGCTGGCTGGTTCTCTTTGCCTTGGGGACTTGAGTGGATAGAAGACTGTGGCAAAGAGCAGCTAGAAAGTCAGGATGCATACATATGGCCATGCATGTGTGTGTCTGTGTGTGCAGACCTACTAGCAGATGTAGCAGTAGCACCAGTGGTGGCTTTGTGTCAGCTTGGTTGTTCCATAAGGACCAACCTCATCGGCTTTATGGCAGATGGGGTCAAGGTGAGGTTTAACGACATTTCTCAGAATGGGAAGGACTTTCACTGGGTTTGCTCCTTAGCCTGACCTAAGTCAGCCAGGGGACTGACTTAGAGGTTGACCCCTGGGGACATCTAAGCCTGTTTAGTCAGTACTTGGGCAACATGGGCCTGGAAGACAGTGCTGAGCAAAGCAAACGGGATGGTGGGGAGGTATCTGGAACAGTGTGGACCCCGTGGTGGTGGCTCTCAGTGGGCTGCTTCTCTTTATATCCCCTGGATTAATTTTCTATGTTGAGATAACAATTTGCCACAGTTCTATAGTTCAAACATCTGATACTGGTCTGATCAGGCTAAAGTTAAGGTGTCACAGAGGCTGTCAGGGAGAACCTGATTCCTGTTCATTCAGATTGTTAGCAGAATTCAGCTCCTTGCAGGTGTAGGACTGAGGTCCCTGTCCCTTTGTGGTAGCATCTACAAGCTGCCCACATTCCTTGACTCGTGGCCACCTTCCTATCTTCAAAGCTAAGCTATGGCAGATGAAATCTTTATGTTTGAATCCCCTCTGCTTCCTCTTTGGCTGAATTTCTCTCACAGACTCTTGTTTTCTCCACTTTAAGGGCCTATGTGATTACATTGGGCCCACCTGAACAACCCAACTTAATCTCCCTAGTTTAAGGTCAGCTGATTAGAAACCCAAATTCCATCTGCAATCGTAATTTCCTTTTGCCATTTCGTGCAACATGTTCAAAGGTATAACACCATGGGACAGAGATCATGGGGGCCAGGCACAGCCACCCACTGCAGCCCATTCCAGCGGGGACCCTCTGTCTGAAGTGGACAGCTCCATTGTCAAGGGCTTGCCACAAGGGCGGCCCGACATGATCCGGCCCCCGTAAGATCTCTGACGTCAATTCTCACCACTTGCTCTCCTCACTCACCTGTTTCTGCCACTGGTTTCCCCCCAAATGCTTTCATCTTAGGGCCGTTGCACTTGCTGTGTCGCTCCAGAACTCTGTTCGTGTCCTAGGTCTGTCATAACAAATTACCACACACTGAGTGGCTTACAACACCAGGAACTTATTCTCTCACAGTTCAGGAGGCCAGAGTCCGAAATCACGGTGTTGGTGGAAGCTCA